ACGGCACTCTAGCCCGGGCAAAAAGAGTGAGACTCTGTCTCAAAAAAAAAAGAAAAAGTAATTTTGAATTTCAATTCTTATTATAGGCTATAGCTGCCATAGATAGTGATTCTTCTGATGGACATGGGCAATGTCAATTGGAAACCTTCTGGAAAGGAGTCACCATTCTAGATGCCGTTAAGAACATTTGTGGTTGATGGGAGGAGGTCAAAATATCCACATGAGTAGGCATTTGGAAGAAGTTGATTTCCAATGCTCATGGATGACTTTGAGGGGTTTAAGACTTCTGTGGAGGAAGTAACTGCAGATGTGGTAGAAATAGCAAGAGAAGTGGAATTAGAAGTGGAGCCTGAAGCTGTGACTGAATTGCTGCAATCTCATGATAAAACTTGAATGGATGAGGAGTTGCTTTTTGCTGATGAGCCAAGAGGTGGTTTCTTGAGATAGAATCTACTCCTGGTGAAGATGCTGTGAACCTTATGGCAAGGACAGCAAAGGATTTAGAATATTACATAAACTTAGTTGATAAAGGAGTGGCAAGGTTGGAGAGAACTGACTCTAATTTTCAAGGAAGTTCTACTGCGGGTAAAATGCTATCAAATAATATTGCATGCTACAGGGAAGCCTTTCATGAAAGGAAGAGTCAATGCAGCAAACTTCATTATTATCTTATTTTAGGAAATTGCCACAGCCACCTCAACCTTCAGCAGCCACCACCGGGATCAGTCAGCAGCCATCAACGTCAAGGCAAGACCCTATACCAGCACAAGTATTATAGTTTGCTGAAGGCTCAGATGATCATTAGCATTTTTTAGTCGTAAAGTATTTTTCTATCAAAGTATGTTCGTTCTTTTTATACATAATGCTATTGTGCACTTAATGGATTACACAGTATAAACATAACTTTTATATGCATTCGGAAACCAAAAAATTTGTGCGACTCACTTTATCACAATGTTTGCTCTATTTTGGTAGTCTGAGGGTGAACCCGCAATATCTCCAAGGTATGTTGGTATCTTGCCTGTCCTTTCTTTGTGTGCTGGCTTTGGGGGTTACCTCAGAATTCCCTTGCTATCACTTTATCCGTTTCTTTTTCTTTTCTTTTCTTTTCTTTTTTTTTTTTTTTTTTTTTTTTTTTTTTTTTTTTTTTTTTTTTTTTTGTTTTTTGAGACAGAGTCTTACTCTGTTGCCCGGGCTAGAGTGCCGTGGCGTCAGCCTAGCTCATAGCAACCTCAAACTCCTGGGCTCAAGGCATCCTCCTGCCTCAGCCTCCTGAGTAGCTGGGATTATAGGCGCATGCCATGAAGCGTGGCTAATTTTGCTATTTTTAGTAGAGACTGGTTCTCACTCTTATCAGGGTGGTCTTCAACTCCTGAGCTCAAGCAATCCTCCTGCCTTGGCCTCCCAGAGTGCTAGGACCACACCTGACCATGAGCTTGGTTCCTTAAAGCATTTGGTATAGCCTTTTTTTTTTTTTAATGTTGTCACACCCCTGTAGTAAGCTGAGTGCTCATGGAAATGTGCTGTACTAAATAAACATTACTGAAAGACTTCGGAAGAGTTATTGCACTTTCCTAAGTGCCCACTTGCTACCTGGGAATGACACAGAAAGAATGGAGTCTGGTGTCATTCAATTGAGTATAATTTTCCTTCTAATAGTTTACTTAATGCTGCTCTTCAGAACCAAGTCTATTTGACTTGATTAGAGGAGTGGAGCCACATTAATACCACTTAATGTCTTTATGGACTATCTTTTAAAATGCCTTTGAACTTTAGGTATTTATGAGTAAGCTAGAAATGACTTCAGCCACAAAAGGGAAAGTCTATTAGTTTATCCATTCATTTTTTTATATACACATATTCTGCCTTATAATCTAAGAGAACATTTTAGTTGATTTGCAAATATTTATTCCATACAACAGAAACAGAATATGAGATATATACCCTAGAGTTTAGGAAAGCACATTTCATTCATTCAGAGACTTCAAGGAGAGCCAAGAAAATTGGGGCATGACCTATGGTCAGAAGTGAAAAAGGTAGAGGATAGCTTAGGAGGGACAGGATGCTTTGAAAAACCAAATTCTGACAGCATGCTTATGCATGATCTCAACAGGAAAGAAAAGAGAGGGGCCTTGTTTGTCACATGGCTTTGTATTTGACCCTGCCTTATTTTATCGATGTCATAAACTCATAGAAGACTTGTCAGATTTACAGACAGCACAAGGCCGACAGGGATAACAAATATAAGATGAAAAAAAAAAAACAAAAACTCCTTAGGCTGAATATTGTGTCAAAACTAACAAGGTGAGACTTAATTGTGATGCAAGTAAAGCCTTATACCTAGGTTCATTTGTATATAGGACTAGGTCTCTTCTCTGTCATTGATCTAAGGGTTTTAGTTGTTTGCATGTTCACCAAGTCATAAGTGTGATGTGGCTGCCAAAAAAAAGAATGTAATCTTTTAAAGCAGTTTAGTGCCTAGGATAAGTAAGGTAATAAAATAATCCCATTCCTCTGTGCAGAAGCTTGTTGTGCATGTTCCATAAAAGAGTAATCAATATGGAGAGTGGTCTGGATACCATGTCATTAGGGATGGCCAAATTTCATTTCTAGGAATGGACAAATTTCTTTGATCTCTTCATTTCACCTTAGCCCTGGAATGAAGAGACTAATGAGAGATATGATAGTTATCTTCAGTTATTTAAAAGGCTGTTTGATGCAAGAGCAGAATGAATTATACTGGATTATTTCAGGTAGCTTAGGATAAAAGTTACAGGAAGATAGATTTTGGCTTAGTTATGAGCTCTAAGAATGGAAGTTGGTTGAGAAGTGTTCAGATAGGCTTAGGTAGCTAACTATCAGATATGTTATAAATGGAGTTTTCTATGGGCTAAGCAGTTGAATTACAGTTTCTTTTTGTTTGTTTTTAAACTATGAATATGTCAAATAGTGTTACAAGAAAACTTTGTATAACCAAAGATTTCTTTGTGCCTAGAGATGTTCTAATTAGTAATCCAGTACTGGCTATGAAAAATTTAGACCCTCCAGATTTCGTTGCCACTTTAAAAAGAAAAATTGGAGAATTACAGGACTCAAAGCTCTGTAGATGTCCAGCAGTTGTCTAAGGAAGGTCAAGTTGTGGTTTGAACAAAAGGAGTCTACTTAAATAAGTTCCTTTTTCAGAATGATGTTCCCAGACAGCCAAGCCCCTGGGTCAGAGTTGAGAACATATCTTCTGGTCTCCATGGGATGAGGGAAATGTTTGGAATGTGTGGGAATTTAAATGTTGTGAGAACTTGCTTTTACAGAACAGTCATTTAGGAAAGCCTTCCCTTAATTCCAAATGGTGGGTGGGGGGAGCGTTTTTTTCAGGACATTGAAGTTTAAAATTCTTAATTTTATTCCTGTTGCAAATGAGGAAAAATACTATAATGGCTGCATTGAATTTATGTTCTATGATTTATTCAACTCTTGTTTTGGGACATTTAGGTTGTTTCCAGTCTTTCACTATTATAAATAATGCTGCAAATAAAATACTTTCTTTATACATGTTTGAGTTTATCTGAGGAATAAATTCCTAGAAGTGAGAATGATACAGTGGGTCAATGATACATAAATTTAAAATTTTAATAGCTATCTGCAAATTACCCTTCAAAGAGAATGGGCTAATTCAATTCCCACAGCAGTATCTTACTTTAACATATTTTCCATAAAGTTTTATTGAGTTGAATTTATTTGTGAATGGAATATTGAAGTTAATGAGAGTAAACTCAGCCATATATATGTATTAATCAAATATCTGTAACTTTCCTTGGTGACCTATTTTGGAACCTTATGTAAAATTTTAATTCTAGGCCGGGCGCAGTGGCTCACGCCTGTAATCCTAGCTCTCTGGGAGGCCGAGGCGGGTGGATTGTTTGAGCTCAGGAGTTCGAAACCAGCCTGAACAAGAGCGAAACCCCCGTCTCTACTAAAATTAGAAAAGAAATTAATTGGACAACTAAAAATATATAGAAAAAAAAAATTAGCCGGGCATGGTGGCGCATGCCTGTAGTCCCAGTTACTCGGGAGGCTGAGGCAGGAGGATCGCTTGAGCCCAGGAGTTTGAGGTTGCTGTGAGCTAGGATGACGCAACGGCACTCTAGCCCAGGCAACACAGTGAGACTCTGTCTCAAAAAAAAAAAAAAAAAAAATCTTAATTCTAATATTGTCAGCTTATAAAACTCCTTAGATAAGTTTTTTTGTTTGTTTTGTTTTGTTTTTAGAGACTGGGCTCCCCATGTTGCCTAGGCTGGAGTGCAGTGGCTATTCCCTAGCCTCAAGCGATCTTCCTGTCTCCCTTCCGAGTAGCTGTGACTGTAGGTGGGGGTACCCTGCCTGGCTTTGTTAGCATTTGATAGTGCCAGTTTTTTTATTTTAGCCACTCTAATAGGTTAAATAGGGGTATCTCATTGTCACTTTAATTTGTGTTCCCCTAATGACTAATAATCTTGAGCATGTTTTCATGTGCAAATAAGCTATCTCTAATAGTTTCTTTTGAAGAGCAGAAGGTTTTACTTTTGATGAGGTCCAATTTATCCATTTTTTTTCTTTTATGGTTAGTGCTTTTTGTATTTGCAGAACTCTGGCTTATGTTTATTTTGATCTCTTGTTAAACACTATGGTTCCCTAAAACAAACTGAGAGTATGGGGAATGCCTTGTGCAGCCTGTGACTGATGATAGGATCACCTTCACACAGCAGGACTTGGCCATTCCAGAAGGGAAGGGTAATTCTCATCCACTACAGCTACTCTTCTTTTTATCCACATATCTGTGGTATGTAGCCAACTGCTTATTTCCAGTTAGTTTTTTAAAAACCACCCATTTCCTTTTGTATTGGTAAAGGATAAAATACACTGTTAATCACTTTGAAATTATAGAATTATGCCATTACTTGTGCCCCTAGATTGTTAAGAAGGAACTTATGAGAAAGTCTAATTTTCATCATCTTTTCTTTCAGTGGTGGGATCAACAAGTTGATTTTTATACTGCTTTCTTGCATCATTTGGCCCAGTTGGTACCAGAAATTTATTTTGCTGAAATGGACCCAGACTTGGAAAAGCAGGAAGAGAGTGTGCTAATGTCAATATTCACTCCATTGGAATGGTACTTATTTGGGGAAGATCCAGATATTTGCTTAGAGAAATTGAAGCACAGTGGAGCATTTCAGCTTTGTGGGAAGGTTTTTAAAAGTGGAGAGACAACATATTCTTGTAGGTAAGAATTAGAAATTTGCAAGATTTGTTATAATTACAATCTTGGTATTTTGTACCTATTTCATGATATACTTTTCTTGGTTTATTACTATTTATGATACATTTAATCCTACTTAATTAACTCCCTTTTATTATACACTTATAAGTCTGTTTTTGCTAATACAGCTTGTTTTTGAATATATGACTTATAGTTAAACAGTTCTGTCACTTTTTCTTCCTGTCCTCTGAAAGTATATAAATGATAGATTTTTGTCTTGTTTGTAATGTACTCAACATACTCTTATCTGAAACTCTTGGGGCCAGATGTATTTCAGAATTCTGAGTACTTCCCCAGTAGAGTCAGGGCAGGACCCTGAATCAAACACAGCATTTCTGTAAGACATCTATGAATATTCACAGCAAGTGATATAAAGTCTATAGTTTTATGTCACGTCAGATCATTTTTTGCCACCAAGTGAGATTTGGTGCCAAAAAAAACAAAACCTTTCAGTTTCAAGGCTTTTTGGACTTCAGAATTGTGGATAAGAGATTGTGGACCTATAGGAACAGTTGAAATTTAGTAGAATAGAAGAGGCCAGTGGTAGGGAAACTGGACAAAAAGCTTTAGCTTTTTGTTCTATGAGAGCAGTTGCTTTAAAACCAAACATCCAACTTACACATTCAAATGTGACTAAAATGAAGCTAAAATTATGCTGACTATATTATCTTTGTTCAAAACATTTTCAGAATTGAATTTTTGAGGCATTTTCATATTCAGTTTGTGTACCATACAGGAAACTCATTCACACTGTATTATAGTCATACCTTAAGCATCAGTGGGAATCATCTATATTTTTTAATCTAATTTTTGATCTTTTTCAGGGACTGTGCAATTGATCCAACCTGTGTACTCTGTATGGACTGCTTCCAGAATAGTGTTCATAAAAATCATCGTTACAAGGTATGAAAATAGATCCATAAAATCTCTTAATTAGAAGGAATCTGTTGGCCATCTAGTCCAAATTCTTGACCAGTATTTGACTTCCTGCTATAACAACTCTGATAATGTGGACCTTTAGCTTCTAGTTAAACATAAATGTGATAGGACATCTACAATGTTGAGGTAGCCTCCTTATAATTTTTTGGTGAAATATATCTTTTTTTCTTTTTTTTTTAAAGAGACAGGATCTCACTGTCACCCAGGCTGAAGTGCAGTGGCACAGTCATAGCTCACTGTAAGCTTGAACTCCTGGGCTGATGCAAAATGATCCTTCTATCTCAGCCTCTCAGGTAGCTAGGACGACAGGCTTCTACTACCATACCGAGCTATTTTTTAAAAAAGTTGTTTATAGAGATGGGGTATTGCTATGTTGCCCAGGCTGGTCTTGAATTCCTGGCCTCAAATGATCCTCCAGCCTTGGCCTCCCAAAGTGCTAGGATCACAGGTGTGAGCCACCGTGCCCAGCCCTATCATTTTTTTTTTTCTTTTTTTGAGACAGAGTCTCGCTCTGTTGCCTGGGCTAGAGTGTCATGGCATCAGCCTAGCTCACTGTAACTTCAAATGCCTGGGCTCAAGCCATCCTCCTGCCTCAGCCTCCTGAGTAGCTGGGACTACAGGCATGCACCACCATGCCTGGCTAATTTTTTCTATTTTTAGTTATCCGGCTAATCTCTTTCTATTTTTAGTAGGGACAGGGTCTCACTCTTGCTGAGGCTGGTCTCGAACTCCTGACCTCAAGTGATCCTCCTGCCTTGGCCTTCCAGAGTGCTAGGATTACAGGTGTGAACCATCATGCCCAGGCCCTGGCCCTATCATTTTTATGCAAAAGATGTGTAAGGCATATGAGCAGTTTAAAGAATCACTATAAAGCAAACACCTGTTTATCCACTACTCAGGTCAAGAAATAAGACATTGCCACATCTCCGAGGCCCCTCATTTGTCCCTTCTGAATAGCAATTGCTCTCTCCTTCCTTGAGCAAACCTCTCTCCTGTGTTTTGTGATAATGGTTTCCTTGATTTTTTTCCCTATTTAGCTTATCACCAAATCATATTGAATAGTTTTATCTGTGTTTGAACTTTATATAGATGGAGTCATACTGTATATTTTTCTTACTGTTGGAGTAGCATTATGTATTTTCTTATTGTTGAGTAGCGTTAGCTATAGTTTGTCCATTGGCCTTATAGTGTTCAGTTTATTCATTGTTCTATATATGGATACGTAAATTGTTAATAATTTGGGTCTATTATGAACAATTCTGATATGAACATTTTTGTTCATATATTTTGGTACACGTATACAGGAGTTTCTTTAGGGAGTATATCTGGAATAGAATTGCTGAGTTCTAGGGTATACGGATCCTCAGTCATAGTTGATAATATCAGACTGTTTTCTAAAATGATAATATCAATTTACAGGCTCTCCAGCTATATATGAGAGTTTCCATTGCTCCACATTCTTATAAGCTTTGGTATTGTTTATCTTTTTAATTTTAGCTAATCTGGTGGGTATATAATTAATACATTGTGGTCTTAATTATTGTTTTTCTAATTACTAATGAGCTTGATGTCTTTTTCCTTTCCTGTTACATTTTTTGACAACTTTATTATTTTGAGCTAAAGTGTATTCCTCAAATAATAGTGCTGGTTCTGTAATCTGGGCTTAGACGTAATAATTGATGTTTCTCTTTGTATATATAACATGTCTAAAGTCTTGTGTAAATGTAAATAGTATCTTGAGGTTAGATAGACCATATCTTCCGTAAAGTTGAAACTTCTGTTCATAGTTTTAGACTGGCTTTCATGTTACCACTTTCATCTCAGGAAGTAATGGGCTATAGGTATAGGTTACAGGTATTACTGTGCATAAGAAAAAACAGATTGGGGAGCCTATGCTATAGTGAAATTAAAATGTTTTCCCAAGATTGCAAAACTAATCATTGATGGAATTTACAAAGTATTGGTTATAGTCCATATTTCCCAGTCATCTCGATTAATTATAGTTTTTTCTTGTGCTGGAGAACTCAAGAAATAATGCCAGAAGTAGAGACGAGGAAAAAGTTGTTGATTTCTTTTCATTTTTACTCTGGGAGACTAAAGGGAAGAGATGCTGAAGGCTCAAAACCTTTTAGATTCCTTGGATTTGAAGATTCCTAAGGCTATGCTTCCCAAGCTTTGGGATTTTGTAGGTCAGTACAATTTCAGAAATCTTTGGGTAAGACATAGGGTTTTCAACTTTTTATTTGGCCACCTAAGTTGAATTTAATTTTTAAAGAAAGGCAAATGAACGGCTATCCAAAAATACCTGTCATCTGCTATGATTTTATAAAGGAGAAGACATTTTAATTCCAGGCAAGTAGGATAATCTCAGAATAGAGCACAGTCCTTTGAATTGAATACATCTACTTCTGTGAAAGAGCTCACCACATTGTTCTTCCTTTTGTGGTTTCTCTGTAGGCTAGTCAAAACTTGTTTTAATTTTTGGGACCCTCTTCACTAATCTACTTTCAGGTATTTAAAGCTTACCAGTCTACATTGCCACCACAAACATACTCTTACGGAATATCGTCTTCGGTTTTTGTAGAGCTCTACTTGGTGCGTACACAGGAATTTTTAGTCATCAGAAAGATGGGCTATTGTGTGACTAATAAAAAATTATGTTTACAAGCTTAAAAAAATATCCATCAAAAGTGTGAAGAGAATAGAACACTTCCAGTGGGAGAGTAAGTTGATAGAAGCTTTCTGGAATGCAAGTATGTGTGGTGAGATTTTTAAAGGAAAGTGAGGGAATGACTGATAAACACGATTCTGTTGAGTAGTTTATCTCCAGGGCACGTAAGGGAATGGGACTCTGGATGATCACACAGGGAGCTTCAGCAGTTTTGATGGTCTCTTTGGTTGGATGTGGGTTCATTTCATTGTTATACTTTGTAACTTACTTCTACATTGTATATATTCTTTTGTATAATAAAACATTTCATAGAAAAAGAACCATTTTAAAAAAAGATCAGAAGAAATAAGAAGGGCTATGTCTTGCTTTAGAGTAGGGGAAAAAAGGGAGAATAATGGCAGAGGAGACTTAAGATCAGATATCATATGAAGAAAGGACCAAGAAAAACCTTTTGTGGCAGAATATTCCAAAATGATTTTCAAGAGAAAGGAAAAAACAAAATATTGAGCTCTTTGTTCTACAGTGTATAATGTGACCCTTCTTTTTGATCTCCAGCTTTTCAATAGTTTACTCCTTAAAAAAACTTAGAGTAAAACTCTGCATTTTCCTCCTCAAAAATACATACATGCATACAAACACACACTCACTGTTAAAGATTATTTCTTTTGTGTTAAATGAGAAAAGTGAGTTACAAAAAGAGTATATTCCTAGAATCATCTCTTCTAATCAGAAAAAAAAGAAGTTTTCTGTTTTTCTTTCTGGCTGGGGACAAAAAAGAAAAAAGAAAAAAATAGTTTAAAAATGAACTTTACAGAGTTGCAAAAGAAAGAAAAATATTTTTATGTTATACTTTTAAATGGAAAAAGCAAAATATATAAAATTATCCATTCAGTTTGTGATACTTCTTTTAGAACATACTGTATATTATATTTAACCATTATTTGTTTTATCATTTACCTGTTATTGAGGAATTTATTTGGGTGTCAGTTTTTTAAAAATGATAAACAGTATTGCCATAAACATCTTTATGTATAAATTATTTTTCCATATGTAGAATTATTTCCTTAGGGTATGGACCTTTAATAGAATAGAAAGACAAGCCACAGACTAAGCCAAAAAATCTTTGCCAAATGTACATCTGATAAAGAACTGTTATAAAAATATGTAAAGAGCTCTTAAAATTCAAGAATAAGAAAACAAACAACCCAGTTAAAAAATGGGCAAAATATCTGAACAGACACTTCACCAGGAATATATACAAACAGTATACAGTAAGCACACTAAAAGATATAACATCATATGTCACTAGGGAATTGCAAATTAAAACAACGAGATAGTACTGCAGATGTGTTAGAATGGTGAAAGTCCAAAACACTGACAATACCAAATGCTGGCGAGGATATAGAGCAACTCATTACATCTTATTCATTGCTGGTGGGAATGCAAAATGGTACCGCTGCTTTAGAAGTTTCTTAGAGAACTAAGTAGTTCAGCAGTTTCTTACAAAACTAAGCGTACTTTTACCACATGATCCAATAATAGCGCTCCTTCTTATTTACACAAATGAGTTGAAAACTTATGTCTACACAAAAAACTGCACATGAATGTTTATAGCAGCTTTATTCATATTTGCCAAAACTTTGGAGCAACCAAGATGTCCTGTTTTTTTTTTTTTTTGAGACAGAGTCTTTCTCTGTTGCCTGGGCTAGAGTGCCGTGGGTCAACTTAGCTCACAGCAACCTCAAACTCTTGGGCTCAAGCGATCCTTCTGCCTCAGCCTTTTGGGTGGCTGGGACTACAGGCACGCACCACCATGCCCGGCTAATTTTTTGTTTCTGTTTTTCATTGGCCAGCTAATTTTTTCTATTTTTAGTAGAGACGGAGTCTCATTGTTGCTGAGGCTGGTCTTGAACTCTGGACCTCAAGCGATCCTGCTGCCTCAGCCTCCCACAGTGTTAGGATTACAGGCGTGAGCCACCACACCCAGCCCAACGGTGTTACCTATTACCTGTCCTTTAATAGGTGAAGGAGATACATACAATAGAGTATTATTTAGTTCTAAAAAGAAATGAGCTATCGAGCCATGAAAACACACGGTGGAAACCTAAATGCATGTCGATAAATGAAAGCAGCCATTCTGAAAAGGCTATATACTCTGAGTCAACCATATGACGTTTTAGAAAAGGCAAAACTATGAAGACAGTAAAAAACTCAGTGGGTGCCAGTGGCTGGGGGATGGTGGTGATAGGGAGTGAGGAATGAATAGGTAGGGCACAGAGGGTTTTTAGGCCAG